ACACAGCTACTAAGTGCCTGAGGCTATATTTGAACTATAGTCTTCCTCACTCCAGGCCCCGAACTCTATCCCCTGAACTACCCAGCTGCCTACATAAGACCATGATAGTCACAGCCAGTCAGTCAACAAAAGCCAATAGAAGTCATTAGACTAGACTTGTCTGTTGCTTTGCTCTTCTGGTGCCAAAGTTAGCCCATTATCTATTACCATTATTATCATTATTATTTTTTTAGGCAGTTGGGGTTAAGTGACTTGCCCAGGGTCACACAGCTGGTTAAGTATCAAGTGTTTGGTCTGAGGCTGCGTTTGAACTCAGGTCCTCCTGACTTCAGGGCCACTGCTCTATGCCACCTAGCTGCCCCAATTATCTATTATTATTGTTTTTTATTTCCTAGCCCATTATCTGACCTGGAGTTAGGCAATTCCTGTTTTACTCTTTCAAATTCCTTATGTTCAGTCTGTGGTCCCCACAAACCATTTCAGGGACATTACTTAACAAAACTTCCAAGGAACTGGTGAAGCTAGGTTGAGGAGATTCCTCTCAGCTACCCCTTCCCCCCAAATCCCTTCAACTCCTGCCGACTATGCAAATAAATCTAGAGCAAGGGTGGGGAACCTTCAGCCTGGAGGCCACTTGGGACCTCCTAGGTCCTTGGGTGTGGCCTTTTGACTGAATCCAAGTTTTACAGAACAAATCCTTTTATTAAGGGGATTTGTTCTGTGAAGTTTGGATTTGGTCAAAGGGCCATACTTGAGGACCTAGAGGGTCACATGTGGCCTCAGGGCCACAAGTTCCCCACCCCTGACTAGAGGGTTATAACAAAAGGTTAGGTAAAGCAAGTGAGGCAAGTGGAGACATTTAGATCATGTCATCTAAATTCCTGCTTTCATTACAGATAACTTCCAGCAACAAAATTTCTACTCTTTGTTTATTTAGTGTATTTTTGATGTTTCCTTTTTTAAAACTAAATTTAATTCTTTTTTAACCATTGAAAATCTGCCTTCTCTTCCTCCCACCCCATTCCCAAATTGAGAAAGCATGCAAGCACATACGCGCACGCATACACACACACTCTGTTACAAACAGAGCAAAATAAATTTTTGCATTGGCTACGCCCCCCCTAAAAAGTCTCAATCAACACTCTGAGTCCATCACTTCTCATACCCCTCAGCGGGGAGTAGCATATTTCATCATGAGTCCTATGGAATCAGGGCTGATCATTTTGATCATCAAAATACCCAAGTGTCTCAAAGTTGTTTTTGTTTACAATATCATTACTGTATAAATTGTTCTTCTGGTTCTTCCCCCTTCATTCTGCAGCAGTTCATACACATCTGCCCAGGATTTTCTAAAACCCAAACCCTTCATCTCTTAGAACAGGATTCTTTTACATTCATATACCATAAATTGTTTAATTATTCCTCAACTGATGGGCATCACCCTCAATTTTATGTTCTTTGCCGCTGCAAAAAGAGCTATTATAAGTATTTTTGTACTTTCTTCTTTCTTTGATCTCTCTGGGGGTATTAACCTAGTAGAAGTATTACTGGGTCAAAGGTATATAATTTAATATCTTTTTGGGCATAGTTTCAAATTGCTTCCCAGAATAACTGGATTAGTTCACAGCTCTACCAACAGTGCATTAATGTACCTATTTCCCCATACCCCTCCAGCATTTGTCATTTTTTTGGTCAACTTTGTCAGTCTGTTTTGTTGAGATGAAACCTCACATTCTTTCTTTTCTTTCTTTCTTTTTCCCTAGTAATGGCAGTGTACTTGCACAGTTCCATGCAAACTCTTCTCCATCCCACCTTGTGACAAATCACATTCATTTTAAGTTAGTGTTTAAGGGGCTTACTTTGTGGCCACAGAACAGTTAAGTAAACTGGCCCCTGTGGCTAGATATTGACCCTTTGACTTTGAAAGCCACTGTGCTGGAACCAACAGAACTAATAGTTATAAGAGATTGTCTTCCCCTTTTTGAGGTAGCTGGTAGCTCAGTGGATAGACTGTTGGGCCTGGAGCCAGGAAGACCCAAGTTCAAATCTGGCCTCAAATATTTACTCTCTGTGTGACCTTGGGAAAGTCACTTAACTCTTATTTGCCTCAGTTTCCCCATCTGTAAAATGCGAATAATAATAGTCCTTACCTTGCAAGAGGGTTGTGAGGATCAAATGAAATAACTGTAAAACCCTTGGCACAGTGCCTGGCACACAGTAAGCACTATAGAAATGTTAGCTGTTTATTATTATTATTATTATTATTATTATTATTATTATTATTATTATTCCTTTTCCTTCCCTTTCAGTAGCTCTGTTATTTTCACAACTTCTTCCTCCTTTCCTCCATTTCTGAGCCTTTAGGTTCTCTAAAATCTCTCTTCCATGAAGCCTTTTGTACACCCCTTCATTACTAGTGCCTTCCTTTTGTTGATTTGTCTCCAGTTTATTCTGTCCATATCTTGTTTGTCCATAGTTGTTTGAATGTTATCCCCTCCATTAGACTGTGAGCTCCTGAGAGCTCATGGGCTGTCTTCTGCCTTTCTTTGTTATCTGCAGAGCTTATACTTGTTGACTAAGTAGTCTACATCTCTGATACTCCTCCTAGCCCCAACTCAGCCCAGCATCATTAACCTCAGTGGCTTGGACATCTCGTTTGGACTGTCCAGTTCCCTTGGCTTTGCTAGACGACAAATCACATGCCTGTAACACGGTTAAACTTTTAGTAACACTTGCTTGTATAATGCTTTCATCGCAACAACCTTGTGTGGTAGGTAGCACAAGTATTATTATCCCTAGTTTACTGAAGGGAAAACAGGTTTAAACCCAGTCTTCCTGACTCCAAGTTCAAGGCCATCATGGTGTGCTTCCATAAAGTCTTTTGAGTTAGGGATGGCTATTACTTTCCTAAAATTCTACAGTGAATAGATGAAAACTTGGCATGCTGTATCTGAACATGTGCAGATCCTTGCTCAGATGTAAAGGCTTTTCATTGTCTAAGGAATTCCTCAGGCCCACAGGGACATTGCATCAGATAGAGTTGAGCTGTGATAATTCTCTCCTCATGCTGCAGACTTAGGTTTATTTTATTTGTCTCTTCGCCAGATCAGGCCTCTAGAGCCACTGATGGCAGGTTGTGGCTGCTTTCCTTTGCCATGTGGGGCCTTCAGAGTTTGATTCTGTTTGGGGGCTGGATGCCAAGACCAGATTCTGCTCTAGTATCCAAAGAAGTGAGCAGGGCTTCGGACTGTGACTGGAGGCTTTGATAAAGTTAACTGCATTTTGCTCTGTGGTCCTTCTTCGTTTTCCTCATATTTTAAAAAATTTCCTTTTGTCTTCCTGGAAAGTGCCCATCTCACCTTGAAACACATATTGACATGGGTTGTTGAGCCACAGGCAAGGACCCAATGAGTCTCTGTTTAGACAACAGGTTTAGAAGCTATCTTCCAGGAACTCAGCCCTCGGTCTGAGCTGTCCTGATTGGTTAGCGAGCGAGTGGAAGCTCACCTATACTTAACTTGTCCCAGAACATGGTTCATATCCCATCCAATCAACCACCAGGAAATCTGGGAATGTCATCATCAACTGCCTCACCAACTAAGCCCTCCTCTCCCACTCCCACCTATTTCTCCCCATCCACTACCCCTTGCTTTGGGAATAGTGATTCAATCATTTCTACGATTGCCACTAGAGAGGGCATGACTGCTTTAGGGTACACTCCTTGTACCTCCCTAGACCCAAACAGCCTTCCTTCCATGGTTATCACATATGTGGTCACCTATGTGTTGTTTCCATGACAGCAAGAACCATCTCACTTTTGTATTTGTATCCCCAGTACCTAGGATAGTGCAGATTCCTCCTGGCCACAAATTATCCTCTCTACAGTCTCTCCTCCCTCTTTGATCTCTATCACATTCTTTTTTTTTTTTGGTGAGGCAGTTGGGGTTAAGTGACTTGCCCAGAGTCACACAGCTAGTGAGTGTTATGTGTCTGAGACTGTATTTGAACTCAGGTCCTCCCAACTCCAGGGCTGGTGCTCTATCCACTGAGCCACCTAGTTGCCCCCTCGACCACATTCTTAAATGTGGTACAGATGCTTGTGTGTGTACATGACATCTCCCTACTTTTATAAACTCTTAAGGACAGTGAACCAGATTACTAATTCATTGTTATATTTCTGATGCTCAGTATAGTACAATGCACACAAACTAAATGAACATTGAGTATAAGCCAATTCTACAAATATTTATTAAACACCTACAAAGTTCCAGGCACTGTGCTAGATTCAGGGAGTATACATTGTTCTGGACTCACTTCTGTCCCCATACCAGAAATAGTTTGAATGAGGAGTGACTTTCCTATAGTAAAGATAATAATAATAGCTATCCTTTATATAATGCTTTAGGGTTTACAAAACGCTTTACAGATATGATCCTCACAACATGCCTGAGAGGTAGATGCTCTTCTTATCCCCGTTTTACAGGTGAGGAAGCTGAGGCAGACAGTAATTAAGTGACTCTAACAAGTGTCTGAGGCCAAATTGAACTCAGGGTCCTCTAAGTGCTCCACTCTGTCAGCTGAGCCACCTAGCTCACTACTCTCACCTCGATTATAGTGAGAGTAGGTTCTGTTACGTTACTAAGACAGTTTGTCAACTTAACTGATTCCATTTTGTTTTCCACCTCCGTTTTGTGATTGAGCTGTCTTGAGTAAGCTGTTTTTCCATAAGTTGGATGGGCAACCGTGTGAGATGATGCAGTAAAAATATGTGTGTTCTTAAAAATGATTGATAAACATACGTAGACCCTCCAGTGAGACAGACAGACCACCATTTGGAAATATTATAATTTTATCAGTAATTTTGAGGTAAACCGTCAATCAAATTACGTGATAAACAACTTTGGCTAAAATTAGAACCCCCTCATCCCCCCCCAACCCAGTCTGCCCCTAAGTCACCACTAAGTAGGTGGGGTTCTTCTTCTCCCCAACCTTGAGACTCGAGCGAGTCCATGCGGCTGGAGGACAACGCTGATTGATTGGGGACTGACCAGGGCGGAGGGAGGAAATCTGCTCTGGTAGGAAAGAAACTTTAAAATGGCAGGGCGAAGGGTGGAGGAGGGTTGGTAGTGAGTGTGTGGGGGTTGTGTTAGACAGTATCGTTTGCACGTTTTGATTAAGTTAATTGATTAAGTTTGACTTCATGTATTGAGAAGTGTAAGTCTAATTAGTGTTCAGCAGAAGTAACGTAGAGTTGCGCCTTACCTTATACCCACACACTGAGTTCCTGGGGTTCTCTATTATCTTTAAGACCAAATAGAAACTCCTTTGGTATTCAAAATCCCTCACAGGCCAGCCTTAACCTCCCTTTCCAGCCTTATACCTTACTCCCCTTTGCGCACTCTTTGGATCAGCCAAATCATCCTTGGTAGTCTTTACACATGGCGCTTAATCCCAGTTTCAGTACTTGTGTATTGGCTGGCCCCCGTACCTGGAACGATCGCCCTTCTCACTCCTGCTCCTTCGAATTTCTAGTTCCCCTTTTAACTCAGCTGAAGTGTGTAACCTCTGATCTACCTGCACACTCCAGGGCTATTTGGACTATAAACGCTCCTCTGAAATTTGGAGGGGGAATGAGTCACGGGGTGGGGCTTCTTCTCAGTGTGTCAGGGTTTTGGAGCTATTTGACCCACTTATCTAAGCTCCCTCTAACTACCAGAAACCCTCTTGAGTGAGAAGTTGAGAGTTGAAGCAATTAGCACAATGCTTTAGCGATCAATAATCACTGATTTACTGATACGTCATAGCTTGTTTATTATCATTATTGTTGTTGTAAACTCTTTGGGCACAGAGATTTCATATCCTTCATACTCTGTAAAACCCAGGCAATACTTAATAGAAGGCCATATTCGTGTTAAATACTCAGAATATTTATTATTATTGACGAAACTGGTGGCTGTTCTAATTTCTTTTTAATTTTTATTTTATAACCATTAATAAAAACATTCAAAGAAACAAAATTAAAAAGATCACATGCAAAACAATATACTCCAAATGATCTACAATTTGTTTTGTTTTTTGAAAATATTTAATAACGTTATTATAGCAAAAACATTTAGGTCTCCCTCCTGATCTCTTTCTCCTGCTATTTTTTCTGTTGCTTTTTAATTTTTTTGCCTTTTCCCAGTAAGTGTTTGTATTATAGCTCTGATTCTCTTTTCTTTCTTCGATATCACTTGGATAAGTTTCCCCATATTTCTTTGCATTCTTCCTAGATGCCATTTCTTCTGGTGCTATAATATCCCACAATGTTCATACAGTGATTTGCTGAAATCCCAATTGTATGGGATTTCAGTTTTGTTTTGTTTGTTTGCTATTATGAAAAAAGATGCTTATAAGTAATTTTTGTTCCATAGGTCTTTTCTTTTTTTTATAATACCTTTAGGGTATGGTTACAATAATGATGTGACTGTGTTAAAGGGTGTGATTAACAATTCACATTTGTGCTTTAAGGTTTACAAAGTTTCCTTCACAGTAGCTTTGTGAGCTGGGCATAGTAAATATTATTATCACTTTTCTTTTGCATAGGACCAGTGCCCCCTCTATACTTGGGGTGGGGTGGGATGGTGAGCATTGAGAGGTTGTGACTTGCCCAGGGCTACCCAGCCTGTTTCTGTCAGAGGTCATGCTTAAACATAAGTCTTCCTAACTCCTTGGCCAATTCATATCCTCATTTTAAAGATGAGGAAACTTGGGGTTTAAGAGGTGAAGTGATTTGCCCATTTGCCCATTTTCACACAGTTCTGAGGCAGGATTTGAACCTAGGTCCTCCTAACTTCACATCTAACATTTTAAACAGAAAGCCACACTACTCCCTTATTTTATATTCTCATATCATTTTCTAAAAAGATTCCATCATAATTGAATAAAATCAATGATGGTCCCAGAAAACAGATAATGAGACCTCCCTCCCTTCTTGTAGGAGTTGCAGGAGACTACCAGTACAGAATGTTGTATATGCAATGTCAGATGTGGTCAGTATAATGAATGTTTTTGTGACTGTTTCAAAGAAGGGTTCAATCTGAAGATTTGGGGGGAGGGTTTTTTCCAAAAATGATTATGCATCAGAAAATCTATTTTAAAAAAACCTGTTACCCTTCTATTTCTCATTGTTCTGTTGAAGGGGAGCAGATAGAAGGTCAGCCTTGTAATCAGGAAGATGTAGATTCAAGTTCTTGGGACCACGGACAAGTCATTTAAGCTGAAACAAGAGAAGTGACCTGTAAAATTGGAGTGGGGGATAAGAAGGGTAAGGCTTAAATGTCATCCAAGGTTCCTTTCAGATCTGGGTAGGATTCTGGGATATTCTTCTCAGCACGATCAAGACTAGCTCAAGATTCTATGCTGACCAAAAAATCTTTCATAAAGCATCCCATATACCCCTCCTCCAGGGCCCCCTTCTCATCTATACTTTCAGTTCAATTTTTAAATAATATAACTTACAAATGATACAGATGAGTTGTGGAGTTGCAGTGGTAGATTGAGGTTCCACACTGGCATTCCAATTAAATTACAGATTGGCATTCCTCCAAATTAAGAAAAGACATAAGCAAAGCAGCAGCATGGTACAGTCAAAAGATCACTGTATATAGAGTCAAGAGTACCTGGGTTCAAATCTCAGCTTTTTTACTTTCAACCTGTATGACTTTGCCATTTCATTTAAATTCAATGAATGTTTAGTCCCCTGTAAAATGAGAGTATTAGAGTAAATGACCTCTAAGGTCCCTTCTTGGTCTTGGGGAAGGAACAAGAATGTATTAAGTTACTATCTCATTTGATCCTTTACAAGTGAGAATATTCCATTTTATTGTGTATATAACAGACTTAATATTTTGGTCTGAAATTGGTAAATTTGATAAAAGATGGAGACATTGTTGGAAGGATCATAGGAAAGAGATGTGAACTGGTCCATTTATTCTGGAAAACAATTTGGAATTATGTGAGAAAAGTCATTAAAGTGTCCTTTGACCAGCAACCCCACTATTGAATGTAAATATTAGAAATAAAGTCTTTGTACAATGATTGGGAAACAACTTAACAAGAGATAGTATAGGAATGTGATGAAATATTATCATCCATCAGGAAATGGTGAATATGAAGAATTCAGAAAAACATAGGAAGACTGATATAAGCTGATGCAGGCAGAACAAAGGATGTAGAACCATGATAAGATCTATAATGACTATAAGAAGGTAAGGCAATGGATCTTAATTAAATGCTTGGGACTGATTGATCTATGGTGAAATGAAATGACCAAACTTGGTCCCAGAAGAAAAATGATAAAACACACTTAACTCCTTTGGGGAGGAAAGAGGTAAAGCAATATGAGTATGGAATGTTGAATATGTTGCCTGACTCACTGTATTAGTTATTCTTGTTATAAGGGAGGATTTGTTGGGATTTGGTGAATATATCAGGAAATCAAAATAGTGCAAAAAATACATTCATAAAAGCTAAAAAAATAACAACTAATAAAATCAGAGAGAAAATGTTTATAATTTTCTGAAAAAACTCCTGAAGAATATCCCAAGTGATAAGGAAGTTATGCAAGAAACTTGCTGTACCATGGCATCACCAAGCAAAAAGACATGAGTATTAGTTGGTAGCCTGAAGCTCATGCACTGAGGTTTTTTCAGGAATCAAAGCCAGAATACGTCATTTGTCAGAACCAAACTAATTGTAATCTGTTGCTTATGATCTGGGAGGCTTCCCTTGCACTGGCTTCTTTTGTCTGGAACAGCTAGCTGAGGCAAGCCATTGAAACAAGAGTCCAGTTTTCTGGATGCACTAGAGACTTTGTTAATCATTAATTCAAATGACAATAACATTACAGACTGCATTAGGTTAGCCTGGCCTGGTAATGCTCTTAAAACTCAAATAGGCAGCAAGGTGAATCCAGTTGCTTCTAACACATTTATCTCAAACAAAACTCCCCACTGTCCTCTGGTTTTTGAAACTTTATACGACCACTTATTTTTATTTAAATTTTTTTGTTTTTATTCCATGACATAAGAGACAAAAAATCTTTTCCAGGTAATAGCAGTAAAGAGAACAAAAAACCAAAACAAAACCCACCTCGCTTGTCCTCTTGCCTGTTTGGTCTCCTAAGCACCAGAAACAGAAAAATGGCTTCACTAGATTGAGTTCATTATTTCAATCTGTCAAGGAAAGTTTGCAAAATAATTTATGTAAAACAGTTCATAGATACTGATTGTCCATAGGATTATTTAGAGTTGAAAGGGACTATAATGGCCATATTCTCTAACCCTTGTCTTTTAAAAAATTATTGTTATTAAGATTGTAAAACTGAGACTAAGGAAGTAACTTGACCAAGGTTGTAAATAGCAGAATTGTGATATAAATTTAAGTCAGGTGTTCATAGGCTCATAGGACCATAGATCAAGAACAGGAAGGATTCCCCTCCCCTTTTTTTTTCACTGATGAAATCATGAAAATTTGCCCAAGATCACACAGATAATAAGTGTCACAAGCTGGATTTGAACCCAGGTCTTCTGATACCAAATCTTATAAAAACACATCATTATCATTTAATGTCTGTTCCCCTCCTTTTTTTTTTAATAATTGTTTAATTGAAATCTTTTGTTTATATTCCCTATATATCTCAAGGTATCCTTTTTTTTTTACAAGAAAGCCATTCCTTATAATTAAAGAATTTAAAAAGAGGGAAAAAACAATTTAGCAAAAGTAACCAACATATTGAAAAAGTCTGCTAGTATATGCAATGTTCCACACCCATGGCCTCCCTACTCCTTTCTTCAAAGAAATGGGGCCAGGGACCTTCTCATATCTCACCATTATAATTTCACAGTATTCAATTCCAATTGTTTTGTTATTGTTTTTCTTTCCATTTACATTGTCATAATGGCTATATATTGTTTTCCAGATTCTGCTTACTTTCCTTTGCATCCATTAATATGTATTCCCGTGTTTTCTCCATATTTATCATAATCATCATTTTTTATAGCACAGCAATATTCTATTATATTTATGTGCCACAATGCGTTGAGCCATTCCCCTCATCTATTCCTTTTAAAATCAACTGTAAGATCTAAATAAGTAGGACAAAGGGTATTTTCCATTGTGCATGAGATATAGTGTAGTATAGTTGAAAGATTGCTACATTTAGAGTCAATGGATGCGAAGAAAGGAAATCAACATTTATTAAGGGGATAAATGTGAGAGGCACCATGCTAAGCATCTTACAGATATTGTCTCATTAGATACTTCACAATAACCTAAAAGGTCATTGATATTAATATTTCCATTTAAAAATGTTTAATTTTAAAATTAAACATTTTTAAATGGAAATTTTTAATTTTCAAATTTAAATTTAAATTTTTTATTTTTTTACTCTAAAATTTAAATAACTTGGGGCAGCTAGATTGCCCAGTGGATAGAGCACCGGCCCTGCAGTCAGGAGGACCTGAGTTCACAACCGGCCTCAGACCAAACACTTGACGCTTACTAGCCGTGTGACCCTGGGTAAGTCACTTAACCCCAACTGCCTAAAAAAAAAAATTTAAATAACTTACCCAGGGTCACACAGATAGTAAATATCTGAGGCTGGGTTCAGATTCATCCATTGCTGATTCTAGGCCCAGTTACCTAGATTCCTGACAGCTTAGGTTCAAATCCTGACTCTTCCAGAGGTCACTCTGGTTCTCTGTGCCTCAGTTTTCTCATATGCAAAATGAAAGGGATGGGGTTACATAATCTTTTTTTTTTACTTTTTTTTTGTGAGGCAATTGGGGTTAAGTGACATGCCCAAGGTCACACATCTAGTTAGTGTCAAGTGTCTGAAGCTAAGGATTACGTAATCTTCAAAAGGCTCTCCAAGGCTATACCAGTGGCACACAAGCACAAATGTTTCCTATCAGACCAGAAAGTCTTGGAGTTTGGACCTGAAGAGAATGTGAATTTAAGGACTAGCCCAGTAAATGCACAGAGGGATCATTCCTAGGGTAATAGCTTGTTTGTCTACAAGTCATGGATTGTTTTGGCTCTAGCGATATCCAAAGACTACTAGCTTTTAAGGCATGAGGGGTTATAATCTTCATCATGGGAGAGATTTTCCATACCAGTGAAATCACAGATCCTTAAAGTATTGGAATATAAATATTATGTAATTTCCACGGTGGACACTCCAACCCATTGTCACTTCCATACGATAATGAGGGGTCTGAGGAGGCTCTTGCTTTTACCAATGCAAGGTCACACTGACGCAGACGCACTTATTTCTCTAGCTCTTTGAATCTATGGTGCCTCTTGGGATTTTCTCAAGAATGATATCCAGGCTATGAGACAGGAAGAGAGACATAATTGTATTTGTGGAAAATTAAAATGTATTCTAGTTCTAGTTTACATACCTGAATATGGCTTAATTCCATAAACCAATCAAGAAGCCTTCCCTTCCTTCCCTCCTTCTTTCTATTCTTCCTCCCCTCCTTCCTTCCTTCCTTCCTTCCTTCCTTCCTTCCTTCCTTCCTTCCTTCCTTCCTTCCTTCCTTCATCTCTCCCTCTTTTCTTCTGTTCTCATTCTTTCTTTTTCTTCCTTCTTTCCTTCTCTTTCTATCTTCCTTCCTTCAATCATCCCTCCTTCCCTCTCTTCCTTCCTTCCTTCCATTTTTTCTTCCTCCCTTCCTTCTCTTTCTCCCTTCCTTTCTCCCCTCCTTCCTTCCTTCCTTCCTTCCTTCCTTCCTTCCTTCCTTCCTTCCTTCCTTCCTTCCTTCCTTCCTTCCTTCCTTCCTTCCTTCCTTCCTCTTTCTTATCTTGCTTTGCTTGACCCTGGACAAGCCATTTACACTCTCTCAGCCTCAGTTTCTTCATCTGTCAAATAGAGACAAAAATAGTATCCAGTCCAGGATTGGTGTGGGGATTAAATGACCCTATATGTAAAGTGCTTTGTCTCTCTTGTCTTGGCAGAAGTGGAGGGGGGACTATGGGTGTGGAATGTTGTATATACTGGCAGACATAAGTGACACATTGATTGGTTTTCCTGAACAATTTTTTTCTTTCCTTTTAAAAATCCTTGATGCAAAGGATAGGTTGGTGGGGAGGAGAGCAGGAAGAGATACTTGGAAGAGGAGATGGTGTAAAAACAAAATATATCAATAAAAATAAGATTTAAAAAATGGGCTTTTGTGTCAAGGAGCAATCTGTGATCATTCATGTGCTGCATAATTGCCCAAGTGGGACCCAGCCCTCTTTCATTTTCCATTTAATTCCAGGCCTAGTTCCTTATCTAATTGCTGTTCCTGTTCAGGGTAGAAAGACTGATGAACTAGTTCAAAGGGTGACCCATCTAGCTCTCCGTTTATTCATAGGCAATACTCAAGTTCAGGTTTTATGTGTACTTCCTCTGGGATTTGTTTCATTTATCTATTTTCTCCTTCCTACTGCAAAGGACATGGAACAGAAAAGTCACAGGGAGGGAAGGGATGCAGGCTACTATAACCTGCCATCACCATTTGGAAACCACTACTTAGAAAGGTGAAAATGGAAACCAGAAAGTCCTATATATATTTGAATTTCAGTTCCTCAACAAATGAAAACAGAAGTCATAGGAAAGGTCTCTGAATTGCTCAGACTGACAAAACCAGCTTGAGGCATTAAGCTAAAGAAGGAAAGAGCAACCACCAGCACCATGGATGGATACAATGTTTGGCCTGAAATAAGGAAGACCTGAGTTCATATCCAGCCTCAGATACTTAATAGATGTGTGATCCTGGGCAAGGCACTTAACCTCTGTTTGCCTTAGTTTCTTCAACTGCAAAATATATGCTAATAATAGCATGTACCTCACAGGGTTGTTTTGAGGATCAATTGAAATGATATTTCTAACAGTGCTTAGCATAGTGCCTGATGCTTAATAAATCCCTCTCTGCTCCCTCCACCTCCACCTTTTAAAACATCAGATAGGGAAGATATTACTCTAAATCTTCTCACAATTGGGAGTTGTTGGAGGTATCATATGGAGCCAGCTGTGGGCTCTTCTGGGTAGTGAAAAAAAGCAGGGACAATTTTATGTGGACTGAGGAGGGTAGAGCCCAGAGCTGAATTAGAAACAGTGGAATTTCTGAGATTCCAATATGGCAGTCACTTCATGACATACAAGAGATTCAGGCATGATGTTTTTACCAAATGACCTGATTTTCTCTCCTCATGT